TTTTACAAGTGCTTGCAATTCAGTTACAGAAATTGTAGGAATAACTATTATCGCGAATTTAATGTTTGTACAAATGGAGGAAGGAATTATACAGAAATATCGTGAGAAATGACGAATAAATAATATTTGAATAATTTATCTCGAAATAATTTATGTGCACACAAAGTGCACGAGATTTCGACATTTTGCTCGTTACAGGAAATGCGAAGAAACGTTCAACTTGCAACGCACGTCAGATGCGTAATTAAAATTTTGTTGCAAACTATTTAGATAATAGAGGGAAAAGTAATATTTGGTTGACGATTACTTTTTACAAACTTTTATTTACAAATAAAATATCTTTGTAATTTTTTTTTGTGTGTACAATATGCGAAGAACTTTAAACATTTCGCCGGATGCACATAGGACAACGGTGAAAATTAAAACTGAGACAAACGTTTGAAATCAACGCAGCCTTTTGTCCTTTAACTGTGAAAGTACTGAAATAGCTTTTCCAGCTTTCCTAGCTTTCACAGGTATCTCGATTACGTTTGCGGAATATCTCTTGCAAATTTGCAACGAGAGATTATTTTTTAGCAATAAATACGTCGATAGGAATTGATAGGTGTGTTTAACGCATTTTTGACAACACTAATTTCTCGTAACTCTTTATTTTAATTAACATATATATATATATATATTGTATATGTCTATTTAACAAATAATTAATTTTTAATCAGGTTTACTAGAAAAAAAAAAAAAAACTCTTTATAAATTTAGATCAATTTCCACATTTTATAATAAACGAATTAATAAATAATGAAGAGTACGTTATTATTTCGCAGAGAATTGTAGAATTTCCCTTTAATATAACATGTCACGTACGCGCAGAATGCGCGTTGAGCGGCTTCAGGAACGGACTTTTTTAATTATGCTCATTAGTACAGGCTAGCGAGGGACGTTGGCTCGCTTCTAACTACCTTTATTTTCGTGAAATTACGACATACCACATATATATCTAAAACTGCAAAAAGGCAGTTATCGCTCTCTTGTCCGTCATAACCGTTTAATGGCATCTAACTAGCTGGAATCTCTTTCAAGAGCAAAGCCTTTCTCTAAACAGGCGAACGTTCATCGAAAACAAGGATTTTGACGATTTTATTTTATTGCAGAAAGATATATCCAAAGGATTTCCTTTCGTCACAATATTTGCCTTGAATTACCGTACCACAATTCCGATTTAAGAGAAAAGTAATAAATTTAAAAAATCGATTCCGAGACATCGACGTATCGTATGAATTATTTTCAATTAGGGGATCTTTTATAGAAAAATTGCATCCCGGGACAGAAGAGTATCGGAGAGCACGGCGGTGTTATTATCGCAAAAGTCCGAAACTTTTTCTCAACCCTTCCTTCCCCTGTCTCCTACTTTCTCAACCAGTTCTTCCGTTCCATTTTATCTAACCTCACTGTGTGTGTGTGAGGTCCTCGCGGGACAGCTGCGGGCTGGATGGAAGATAATAAACTCGAAACAATACGGCGGTCGCCGTTCGCAACACAACACGAACATGCTTTCAGCTTTAAAGCACGATACTGCTGAGTCGCCGTTACACCAGGCGCGAGGAAAACTATTTCATAACTAGGTCGTACGTAATATGACGCGTGTGTGTGTATGTGTATGTGTGTGTGTGTGTGTGTGTGTGTGTGTGTGGATGATGGTGTGTCGGTGCTGCCGCAGACCGATGCCAGATAAAGAGAGAAAGGAGACAATCCGCCGGGCAAGAGGTTCTCTCCTCTCCTCACCTGTCGCTCCAGCTGGAAAAGCTCGGCGAATTTTAGTTATGCGCGTCGCGGTATAACTAAGCGGACACGGTAAAAGGGAGAGACTTTGTCGGCATCACGTGCGAGTGAGATTATTATCCAAGAGGGATGAAAAATTTACTAAAGCCTTCGGCTCATCTGGTTTAACTCCGCCGACATCCGGCGTCTTTCACTCCATTGCATTCGCAGCGATCCCAGCGATTTTGATCAGCCGAGTATACCGTATAGTTAAATAATTTACCAGCTAACGCACTCTTAAATTTTTCCCAACAATCAGAAATGCCGTCGGCCTGTTTCGCTGCCGATGTGATAAATTCATAGAAGGATCTACACACAGATAGATGCAAATTAATCTTGTTACACGTTGCAGGGTAGAGTCGACTTTTACTGTTATATATTGACTCACTGACGGTAACTAACTCTCGACCTCATTATGCATCCGTTAATATACATACTCAAAAGACTATGCTCGCTAGGTCTCAGCTGTGCTCTCACTAAGAACGCGACCGCTACAATAAACTGGAAACGACTCGCTCATCCATTAAACTCCGTCTTGCACGGTAACATTAGTTATCTCGCGTACCATCTCGTAGCGTTTCCCGGCTCGAGACTGCACTGATGAAACGCCGGTTGACATTTGCAATTCACGAGTCCGCCATCTAGGCATTGTACAACAATCAAGAAATTATTGAAGCTAAGCAACTGTCATTTTGTAATAAATTACAACAGAAAAAAAAAAATAAATTGATACTATACTGCGGAAAAAAAACCTGCAATTTTTAATACCGCACAAGAAGAAATATATGTGCACAAATAAATATCAACTTGTAAAAGTAAAGAAATATATAATAATAATTAAATTTATAAAAAGATTAACAATGCAATTTATCAAAAAATTTTTAAATATATTATGAAATATATATTTTATATATATATATACAAATAACTATAATTTTGAAAAATAGGTACATTTTTTATAGAAAATAGAAATGATCGACTATTTTTGAATTTTCTTGAATATAAATCACTGTGCCACGCAGTCGACTAAATTCATGAGCATGTATTTTTTGCATTTTACATTTATAAAAATAGAGAACTTATTATTATATTTTATTAAAAAAATAATTGTTAAATTCAGCCATTGTCATCCTACACACGATTATCATCGACGCGTCGAAATTGATTCTTTGCGCTTGTGCGGACGTTCGGACATAGAGAGGGAGAGAGAGAGAGAGAGAGAGAGAGAGAGAGAGAGAGAGAGAGAGAGAGAGAGAGAGAGAGAGAGAGAGACGACGA